TTTGGGGTTTTGTTGTTCTCCCGCCCTGGCGGGGGGTCGGGCTAGAAGATCTGCTAGGTCCCTTCTGACCCTAAATCTATGAAACTATAAAGCACTGGGAAGGTCACGTGCATCAGCTTCTCTGCACTGAAAAATGTCAGCAGGGTGCTTTTAACTAAAACTCCAGTGAGCTTTAGTTAAAAGCGCCCCATTGACATTTTTTCAGCGCAGGGACACCAATGCACATGATGCTGGAGTCTGCTGGAGCATGGTAATTACCCCATTCCAGCAGACCCTATTAATTGAGTCTGCTCCCAGGCACTGCAATTACAGCATATTGGAGCAGCCTCTGTGCACTTGTAGGAAGGACACTAAGGGCTCCCATACATTGGTTACTTAGATGCATGAACAGGACGGCAAGTCCATCTCTTCCAGAAGAGCCTTTGCCAACATGAATGAGCAGTTCAATAGTCCTTGACTGTGTAATTCGTCAGAAATTCTCACGTCCACTTTTGCTGCAATGGAGCCCATGGATAATTTTTCCCCTCCCTTAATCTTTGGGGAAAGAAGCAGGGAGGAAGCAAAAAGGGGATGTCAGTAAAGTCAGCCCACAGAAACCAGGAAGCATTTCCAGTTTCTATTGTTATTCCGAACTCCAACTTACAAAATTTGTTCAGGGAATGTTTTTCCTGACCTCCACCCCAGAAGGCAGTGACTAGCATTCCCTGCCCTGACCATTTTCTATGGTAAATGAATGCTTGGTTAATTTCTTCCCATTGCAAAAGAGCATTCTTCAGAAAGCAGGCTCTGTTCCTACCACCTTATAATATCCAAAATATTTTTATGGTTTAAAAGCAAAAAAAGACACAAGACACCTTCAATCCTCTGGTTAAACACCAAACCAATCTAAACTAGTTATTTATGGACGGGTTCATCCTTTGAGAAAGGCATCTGCTTGGGTCAACCATTTCACACTCAGCACCATACTAAGAGGAAAGAAATGTGGGTATATTTTCAACCAAAGGCCTGAAGTTTCCATCTCTTGTTACCAATCGTGGAGATTATGTTATGCATCAATGCTCAGCATCTGGGTCCAGGCTGAAGCAGTGGACAATTCAGCATTTGTCTAACGTGAGGGTGGGCAAAATGCAGCCTGGGGGCCAGATGCAGCCCACCAGGCCATTCTATCCGTGGGGCCCCTAAAAAAAAATTTAGAAAATTAATATTAATCTCCCCTGGACTGCTCATCATGCAACCCTCAATAGCTTGCCGAAACTCACTAAGTGGCCCTCTGCCCAAAATAAATTGCCTGCCCCTGGTCTAACACCCTGACTTGAGGATTGGTCAGCCCCTGATCCTGCTAACTGTTGCCCTCATTTCGGTCTCCTCTGAACACAGCTTTTAGAACACAAGAAACGATGTCTCAAGCAGCCTACACACAAGTGCAACAGTTAGGATGTTAACTGTGATTTGGTCAGTTAAGCCACTCTGGGGATCCTTACCCTTGTTTCAATCATGCCTAGGCTTTGCTGTGCCTCAGCTCCCCTCACGTACAGAGTTAGCATAGTACACCCCTATCCCACAGGTGGGCTTGTGAGAAGTACAACAAAAAGGTGCTCAGATACTATGGTAATACTGAGTCAGATGCACCCAGTTGATACCATTAACTAAATAACAGATGAATGGAATTATCTGCATCATTAGTTATCTGCATTTTAGCACAATTTCAGCATGTACCAGAACAAAATCACTGATATTAAGCACAGCCAGTTAAACTAATTTGTTTCTCATGTACAACTGCATCCTCAGTTGTAGGAATCAGTGTAGGTTAAGAGGCAAGCACAGATTAGCCTTTTGGCCATCTTCACAAGAGGAAAAAAAGTGGCCAACGTGATTTAAAACGGGGGCCATGGGATGACCTGAGCCATGGGACATTGCTGCATGCAGCATGCCAGCCCCAGCTAAGAGGTGCTGGAATAGAGACAGGAGCCGAGCAGAACAGAGCAGGATCCTACTGCACGAGGTGGCAGGTGTTACTGCCAAGAGGCAGATTAATCCTCCCCTGGCCCTGCAGCTGCTACCAAATTAAGGGCTTTGGATCCTCATCCACCATATAAGACTGCAGCAGTAGTAGGGCCAAGTTACCTTGGCTTCTGGCAGTGACAGCTCCTCTCTCAGCAGCCTCCTACCTCCATGTTGGCACCCCAAGCACAAACTCTACTACGTACACCTGGACAGGGATGGAGAGGGCAGGGAATCACAGCAGGACTTGGGAAGGGCTAGGGCTTAATTTGTGGCATGCCTGCTGAAAAGTTGCCCACCGCAGGTTTAAGCCTACAGAGTTATCCAAGTTAGGACTGTAATGCATTACTTAACGCAACTTAGCCAACGCAGGTTCAAACCCACTTTCTTTCTTAGCAAAGATGAATCCTTAGGATGCAGCAGTCATGCCAATAAAGTGAAAGAAGCAGCAGACAGGCACCAGTGCTGCTCTCCAGTGCTCTGCCACAGCTCAGGGGGAAAAAAAGGAAAGGAAGAAGCCAGCCTTCTTCTTTGAGGGGGATGGAAGAACCCAGTGACCTACTTCTTCAGCCTAGAGATGAGGAAAGAGGGGAATGCACTAGTCCCTTGGGTGGGACTTGTGAAACAGCTTCCTCCCTTGGCCCTCGCTGGTCCCCGGACTCCTAATTGCAGAGATGGCTCATCCCACACTCATGCCAGGGAGAGGGCAAGAGATGAGCAGGAATGAAGTCTGCCTTGCCAACACACTACCTTCATTATTCAGCTCCAAACTGGAAATTCCTCAGTTAACCGTAAGGCAACTTTTCACTCTCCCTATTCCATGACATTAATATTAAAAATGAAATGAAATGAAATGAAATGAAATGAAATATTTTAGTAAAGCCCTGCAGTGTCAGGCACAGCCAACAAGGGAATTCCTCATTTCTATACAGGCTGTCCTAGGGCAATGCTTCCCAAACTTTTCCTCAGCGTGGCCCCTCACTCCCTACCCAGAGCACCCCCTCCCCTACAACCCCATTTGGAGTCATGACCCAGTTTGTCACCTTAATTCCTAGGACAGCTGTTCCCAAGCCAACAGGGAGGAACAGACACAGATAAAAAGACGTTCCCCCTATAGCAACATACACTTCAAAGACAGGTAACGGAGCAGCAGGTACCGCTAGACACTATTATTTCTGCCTTGCCACACTTGCCAGGGTCAGGCCCCTTCCAAGTTGCTGGCAACGCACGCGTCCCCCTGGAGCTTTCACTCTCCCCTCTATTTGTTAGCTCAGATTTTGATTTCTTTCCCTACAAGAGGCTACAGGTGGGGCGGAGAGACCAGGAGCGAAGAAGAACGTGAGGGGCAGACGAAGCCGGGGGCGGGGAAGCACCGGCAGCTGCTCCAGGTGCTGCTGGCAGCCGGGGCCGGACGCGGAGGCAGCGCCGAGCCGGGAGCAGCTCCGCTGCGCTCCCCCGCGCGGGCGCGGGACCGGACCGGACGGGACGGATGGGCAGAGGGGACCGCGGAGAAGCGAGTGGCGGGGCAGGCGCCCGCCCGCACCTACCCATGGGGGTGCCTGCGCAGCTCCTGCTGGTGCCGGTGCTGGGGTCGGGGTCGGGGCAGGAAGGAGGATGCATTGCTGAGA